TAAAACTAAGGCCTCTTTCTCACCTTGCTCTACAGCATGCAAACCAGTGTTGGATGAGGATACAGTGAGTTTGGTGCGACATCTTAAGCTGTTTGCTGATGCAGAAACAGTGAAGGAGTGCATGAAGGTGCTGGAACACTGCTAGATGGAAACAAATAAATTAACTGCTAGGAAAAAAATGAAACAGGATCCAACTAGGATGAGGCCACCTAAACATCTCACCTTTTTATCCATCACTCTGCTCTGTGCTCTTCACTCAAAAAAGAGTGGCCTACAGTTCCTCATCTCATCAACACAGCCAGCTAAGAAATTCCTTCCAGATGATGATGCAAATGAAAGCCACAATGCAACTTGCTGAGTAAAGGCAGAGTGTTAGCATACTTTAAGGCGCTTAGAAACTAAAGGTTAACAGTCAGAAGCTTCATTTTAAACCATACTGTAGTTTGCAGAGATGTAGTCTGTTATATTGTTAAGGTTGATGTATTGATTTGGAGTGCAAACAAACAAAACATTTGCATCAAACCATTGGCCCCAAACAAAAGAAGAACTGTTTCACTGATGTTTTTCTTTGTCATGTTGCCACCCATCTCCAGCCACTCTGGAAAGATAACCATATGCATGGGTGACCTAAAGACCTGACCACCTGCTCAGATAGATCACCCTCCATCCACTTCAACTGGGTTTCTCATTTACATCATGCAGGAAAGAAGGGATTACTGCAGAAAACGGACAGTAGTTACCCAGTTGTACAAGTGCATGTGATCAAATGAGACCAACATCCCAGCCATGATCATCCACGAGACACCAGTCCACCGAAAAAGGTTGGGTGGCCTCAAGCAATGAAAAAGTAACATCAGACTGGTAAATACTCTGCCAAAACAGGAGTGAAGATGGTTTATAACTGCACCCAAAAAAATCGAAAGTGTTACAACCTCACTGAGGAGTGTCTGCTGGGGAATGGAAAAAGAGTAATACTTTTATTTGATTTATTTGTGGTTTATTTTACTGGAATGTATTAGTCATAGTGGTATATATAGTTTATCGTCGGTCTTCTCCAAACATTATATATTACATTATATATCAATTAGGGAACCATGACACAGTATTTTGTTTCAATAAGAATTATAACTCATTTTAATTGTGTTCATATTGCAGCATTATGTGCACTTCTCTCTCCACACAGTTACCCGGTTCATACTAGGATTTGGAGCTGGTTCTCTGGGTGGGCTCTGGAGAAGAACCCCATTGGAGTCAATTAATGTTCTTTTTTGCTTTCACTGAAACTTGTCCTTTCATAGTGGCCGAACTGTAGAATCGCACTTATCTGCGTTCGTTCCATGGGGCCGAAAAAATACTTTCCCTCATAGACTTAAATTTGGAAAGAGACGTCTGTAACTAAATTTCCCAATAACAACACTTGCCGTTATACGAACCATTAGGTCGTAAAGGTTGTAAAATGCACTAATCGCCAAATCCAGAGTTATTTTCCTTTCTCTGTCCATGTAAATGAGCTCAAGAATGAGGCCAGATCGAGGGCTGGAAGGTGGAAAACACTACAGTGCATGCTCAATGGGAAAGATCAGTATTATTCAGCTTTTTTTCATTGATCATATTACAAATATTACAATAAATTGTGTAAAGAAAAAAAACAAGACAATACAAACAATATCGAATAAAAATATATAAATCTAATATATTATACACCATATCATCTGAATTATATTCTCGGAAGTCTGACTTTTTTTGCTTCATACACCACCGAGCAACTCTCGAATGAACCTCCATAAACACCGAGCGATAAATATTACTGAGAGCAAAGTACATTTGCCACCTGTTGGTTTTAATAATGAAAAAATTGTGGAAGTAAATAGTTCGATAGGGCGAAAACTAATTCAATTGTGTTAGTTTTACGTTTTTTTTTCTTCAGCTGAAGACATATTGCTGAGATGGAATGATGGCAGGTAAAGCTTTGTGGCTGTCAAATTCCAACACTCGCCTTCCTTTCGTCGTGCGAGAATGGACTGCTGGCCAATCCTTGCACTTAAATGCTACACAGGGCGGGTCTTGCCAAGACGAGTAGTGGGATTCGTAATAGGGTACATCCCAAGTCTCTAATTGTCATTTCCTCGCTCCTCGATCCTTGCTTGAACCGGAAGTTGTTCTGCACCGCCATATTGACGGCCGTCCCAAAGCTCTTATTTAGATCGGAGGAGCGAGGATCGAGGAGAGAGGAGGGATCTCCGAGGAGCCATGAGCAAGGACTCACGAGAACATTCATCCAGGAAGTGTTTTAACGGCCGACACGCCCCTCATTGTTCATCAGTTATGTGATTGGACGCTGCAGCCGATCAGACTGATAAGATTTTTTTCAACATGTAAACAGTGAAGACGGATGGTAGATCAAGCTTTATATTTGATTAGTTTTCTGATTCACCATCTGGTTTAAATACATGTTCATTGTAGGTCTGAACAACAAAAGGACCACAAACAACTTTCTTCATTTAGTAGAAAGATTTGTATTTTCATGATCTGATATTTCCCTCAATAACATTTATTATGGATACAATTAAAGTCAGAGAGAGCTTTTTACATCATTTATCATCATTTCATTCAGTCACGTGGGGCTGATCATTCCTGAGTGTTTGATGACTTTTATCATTTAAGTTTAACCTGAAACATGGAGCCTAATAAAATAATTCCAGCATTTAAGAGAAACCATAATCATATTCTGGGTTAATTAATAATGAGGCCACAGTCACAATTTCAAAACGTATAGAGCAAATAAGTCATAAATAAGTCAAATGCATTCTGTCGTAGAAATCGATCCTGCGCTTATAAACAGAACACAGTTTGTTAAAGAGGTAACAGGCTACAGAGAGAAAACACCTCTACAGTGGTGATTATTGTGTGTCTTTATAGTTATTAGTATTATTACTATTATTAAGTACAGTGATCATGTGAACAGACAAACTTATCAAAAGTCTCTCCAGCTGTTAAAGCCGACTGACAGCTGATCCGGCTGTGATCAGCTGATCCTTCGTCATCAGAAACAGACGTCGCTTCACGTGACGCTTCAGAGGAAAGGTCGTCTCATATCTGTTAACACATATTTCCTCGTTTCCTCTCCCTTCACATGCGTCTCTCCATGCATCCCTGGTGGGAGGGACTAAGACGCAAGGAAAGGACACAGGCAGGGAAACGGGGATGCAAGAGACTTGGGATGTAGGCTCCCCATATTAGGGTCACAGAAACCCAGGGCATGATGGAAAACCCATGGCTGTAGTCCGATCAAAGAACTGATTGGCTCTTCATTTTGACAACAATAACCACGTTTTGTAGAAAATCCAAATTTTTCTGTGAAATTGTAATATGTAATGCTAGATTGTTGGCTATGAGTCATAAGTCATGTTGGCTTCACATTGTGCAATAAAGGTTTAGTCTAAAAACATATACTGTGTGGTTGATAATAATAAAGCTTATGTCACAAAACGAGCATCAGAGTGTTTTACAGGGCAGACATAAAAAACAAAGGAATGCAATTTCAACATACATATATATTTACAATTACATATAAATAAATCCAAACGTGGTCTGCAAACTACAAGTTGCCTACAGATCGGATCTAACCGGATGTAACCAATTCTTTAACTTCCTGTATATTCTTTGAAGGCAGCTGAAAACTGTCCGACTAGTCCGCAGTTTTTTCAATGCTCCAGCCCCTGCTGCTGCCGTCTGCTCTCGTCCACCTTCCAAGCGAGTCGCAGCTCATCTCAAACGAGCCTAATGTTTGCATTTATATTTCATATGTTGTTGGTGTGTGTGTGTTACTTGCTACCACCTGCCATTGAAGACTTGCCAGTCCTTTGTAGAAAGATTAAAACAGTTTCTACCTGCATGCACCACTACAGTTATTCACTTATTCACTGACGATTGTAGAGAATAGCCGATTGCCATATTGCCATTTTTTAGGTAATGCTCAGAAATAGATCAGCGCAGGCATATTCTCTCACAAACCTAAACCTTAAGTGAAAAATTCCTTTATTAACCAGGATCATTTATTTTAATAATTTAAACGCTAAAGATGTAAAGGACCAAACAAAACAGATTTGTAATAATACACATCAAAGAAAGAATACTACGTGGAACACAAATTATAACGCCTGAATTGTTGATAAATGATTACAAATTACATTATAGCTCATTGATGGAAAACTATGATATATTCAGCTTTTGTTATTTTCACATTGTGTATGTTGCTGCCTATGAAGAAAAAAACATAAACACATCAAAGTTAATTTGTATGATTTTTTGTACTCGCATAATCATACATTGCACTTAATAGCAGATATTGATTTGTTGGTTTCTAGTATGTAATCAATACATTGTGTATATTCAGTCAAAAAGCTAAATTATAGTAGTTAATTAATTATTAATTTGACTTCTCCCTTATTGAGAAACGGGTAAGTTTCATTCAATTTTTTCAAGCCAGTTTGCTGGTTAAAAAAAACAAATGATCAGTTTAGTTTTTTGACTTGTCCTAACAAGGGTAGTTTGACCAGTCTCCTTGTAATGTAGCTTGTTCAATGAAACGAAATAGAAACAGTCCTATCGTTGTTTCTGCTGCTGCCAGTCTCATCAAGAAAAAACCGGTCAAACGTACACAAACACCCGACAACCCATAAACAGATGAACATAATTTGACTCGAAGCAGACAAAGGAATTTTCGCGCCGTATGTTTAAAAGCCCAGTTAAACCAATCAGCGTACAAACAACGCATACAAACGTGATCGCACTTAATACAACCAATCACAGTGGTGTTTCTTTCTCATGCCCTACATTCAAATATAAATGTTTAAATCCGGCCAATCATCTGACGGCTGGGAGGAGTTGTGGAAGTACTTTGAGTCAAGTTTGTTCGCCCTCGCAGACAGTGACAAAACAGTCGAGCTTTTTGTCCTCGCTCAGTCGTTTACAACTTGTCTAGCTGAGAACAGGTAAGACCATCGCCGTTTTTGCAATTGTGTCGAAATAATATTGTTATTGAAAGTCTCCAGCGGTTTCCATCGTAGTATGTCTCCGAGCAATGTTGTGCATTTTTACCAACTAAAGCCTATTACCGAATTAAGTTGTTTGTATGTTAGCCTGGCGTTAGTTAACGTAAAATCATGTTTCCTAAATGTATCCAATCGAAGCAGTTGTATTCTGCTTAATCTATGTTGCACTGTATGGCCTCTGTCGATACGAAAGGCAGCTAAATGGTAGTATATTGCTGTGTTCGCAACATGCAGTTCAAACGCCATTTGGTTTGGTAGCTTAGCCTGCTACACGATGGTAGCCCCGCATGTAAGTTAACGTTCGACTTAACCATTTAGTCGAGACCCACTCGCGTGGTTTAAATGCACAGGAGCAGTTGTGTTTAGTCAAAATCATAGCTGTTAGATAACTTCGTAAAATAGTTTTTCGTAAGCTTTTGGCGCAGTAAAGTTTAGGCGGGAAGATACAAAATGGAGTCCCGTCTTTTTGTCCCATAGTAGCAGAAATCCGATTAGAGCCCGTAAACACCCGTGTGCTTTTGCTTCAGCTAACACGTCACTTTCATCAATCCGTTTCAAGCCATTTGCTTAATATATTAACGGTATATGTTTACAAGTGTAAGTTTAGTTATTGGGCCGATAACTTACAAAGTGATGTAACGTTATAACCGTAACTTAACATTATACAACCTCACGCATTTGCTATGAAGTGGGTTCGTAGTATCATGTGACTTTTTTTTTTTTTTTTTTTGCATGTGCTCTAGATCAATCGCAGCCATGACAAAGGACCCAAATAAGCCAAGAGGAAAGACCTCATCATATGCTTTCTTTGTTGCGACCTGCCGCGAAGAGCACAAAAAGAAACACCCAGGGACCAGTGTAGGCTTTGCAGAGTTTTCCAAGAAGTGCTCTGAGAGATGGAAGGTAAGCTGGCATCAATTTCTTATATAGCATTTTACAAACTATATATTTTGCATGAAATGGGTGTGGCTTTCCCTACATTATACAATGAATTGAATGATGAAATACCAAAATGTGACAAACTATCAATAGTATAAAGTGAGACTGTCTAAACCACAGAACTGTGTTGACTTTGACAGCCAGAGGTGGAATTTATTTTAGTGTAACTTTGCTGTGTCCTCTCCCTATTTTGCCTGTCCCTGCATAGTCCTTCGCCCTCTCTATTGATTTGGTGTGATGCACTTGAAAAAGATAGCTTACTATTTTCATATAAACAAACTTAATATAAGGATGTTAAGTTATTAATAACAATGTAATGACCATGGACAGTCTTGTGCAGAAAGATGCATCAAGTCAGAATTTTGAGGTGTTGCTGAATTTTTTGTAGACTGTCTCAGCCAAGGAGAAGGTGAAGTTCGAGGATATGGCTAAAAACGACAAGGTCCGGTATGAAAGGGAGATGAAAACGTACATCCCTCCTAAAGGTGCCCCCAGCAAAGGAAAGAAGAAGAAGGACCCTAACGCACCTAAAAGACCACCGTAAGTAAACCTACGCCACATTGCCCCATATATGATTTAAAAACATTAGACTAAAGAGTTGTATAATTATCATATTTAGCTTCTACCTACTTTCATGTGCAGGAATGCAGTTTGGTGCACTCTGACATTAACTTATTTTGCTTTCTCTGCAGTTCCGCTTTCTTCGTTTTCTGCTCTGATCACCGTCCCAGAATCAAGGAGGAGAACCCTGGTATTACCATTGGTGACATTGCCAAGAAGCTTGGAGAGTTGTGGTCTAGACAGACTTCCAAAGACAAGATTCCTTTTGAGGCCAGGGCTGGCAAACTGAAGGAAAAATATGAGAAGGTATCTACGCATTGCCAGTTTTTGCTTGGTACTAACTGTCAAGCAACTAGATATGTCTGACAGTTTATATTTTTGTTAATGAAACTCATGAACAGCATCAACGGACAAGGGTTTACATAAATGTCTTTTCTTTTAAGGATGTTGCGGCATACAAAGCCAGAAGTGGCCTGGGGAAGAGTGATGCTGGCAAAAAGAGTGGCCCAGGCAGGCCCGCTGCCAAGAAAGCAGAACCAGTTGATGACGATGATGACGAGGAAGAGGACGACGAGGAAGATGATGACGATGACGACGACGACGACGACTAAGTGGTCTATATGTTAAAGGTTGTGAATTTTGCAATGCATTGTTCAGATCAAATTTTGTGTGGATGATTCAAACGGTATAGCCTGCTGTCCCTGTTGGTCTGCCTCTAGGATACCAGACCTGTATTCCTTTTCACATTCAGGGATTTAGTTTTTATTTTGTAACTTAGTCCCCAAATTTTTTTTTTTAAACGTTTTTTTCTGCTGAACTCGTTTGTTACATCTAAGACCCCTCATTGCTATCGTAACGGGCAGCTAGATATGAATTTCCTGTGAAAATGTACTGAAACTCGTGTACAAGTGGTGGACAGCAGCAAATTGGTAACGTTTTAAAAAAAAAAAAAAAAAAAGTCTTGTTTTCTGGAAGCACTGCTCGTTTTCTGTTTAGTGGTGCGGTTTCTTCACTGTCATTTTTACTACCAAGAGTTATCTGTAGTTTGATTAAAAATGTTTGAAGCCATTTTTAGTGTGGAACTTTGAAAACTTTAACGTAGAACTTTTTTTTTTTTTGTAATAAAATTTTGTATATGATAACTGTATGGACATACAATTTATTCAGTTTGTATTTTAATATCTTAAGACTACAAAGTGAAAGGGTATTTCTTAGTTTCTGTACCCACTGAAGTTCTGCTTCTCTTATTTAGTGGTACTTTCATTAGTTGGACACGGTACCACCCATTGGTCAGATACACCAGAATCATTAGTTTTAGATTTTGGGTTACAAATGGACTGTCTAACGCAATCGTTCCCCTCTAATCCTAACCTTTATCAAATGACTAGTGAAATGCATATATTTTAAAAATAGGAGTTCCTAATTTGGGGATTTTGATGACTCACCAGAACTAATTACTTTTTTAAAATCACAGACTGATGTTGCGCATTAATGGTGCAGCTCAATGTATGAATAGCGGTGGCCAAGTAACAAAGACCATCATTGTAATTAATATTCCTAACTTTCTCAGTGAAATGGTGATCCCACAGTAAAGTAATTGTTTCCATGGGGGTCTTAAGGGCTGTAGATATGGATGGAATCCACCCAGGACTTTTATGAACTTTTTGTGTTGGTGACAAAACTGCCCAAATATGCAAAAAAATTATTTCACTTTGAAGCAGTCTGTCTAAAATCCTGATAGACCACTTCAGTGTGCTTAGGGGCCCAGTGTCCCTATGGTTATAGGTTAGGGAGGGGTAAAGCTAAATTCTTGGCCATGTAGAGCCCAGCATTTTTTATTTTTTTATTTTTGTTTTTATTTACTTGTAGGCAGTTGTAAAAAAAAAAATAGTAAAATCGTTCTGCCTTAGTTAATGTTAAAGGATAAATATTCTTAAAACAAACATAAACCTCTTTCCTTATTCAGCAATACACTAATATATAGTAAATATTCAAATTTGTGCAACTTCTGTATACAGCCAGGCTTACCATTTGTCAGGAATTAGAAAACATGAACAATTCAATATTCCATCAAAATATTTTGAACTTCCCTAGTTTCCAACATGTTACATTAGCCTACTACTGTAAAGGATCAGAATAGGCCACTTCTTCCACCCCTGCTTGAAACTGACCTTAACTGAATTTGAACTGCTATCGAAGAAAGCGATGAGAAATCTGGATAATTCAGATCCAGGCACCATGTATTAACGCAGGGAAATCGCACTAATATAATCATACATCATGCTGGACCGAGTCATGAGAGGAGACAGCACTTCTGGATTTGCACAGAAGAAATACTTCCTGACACTCCAGACAGCCAATAGCTGATCAAATTGATTATTCCCACTGACCAATCATTGCCGTCGTTACGACCCACCTCACGCGGAGGACAGTGATCAGGGGGCATTTCAGAACCTGGGAGCTGTCCATTGTGCAAGAGCCAGCTGAGAACAGACGGTAAGAATAAAAACAGATAGACAACACATTAGCTGCCCGCTAGCATTGTAATACAAATCAATAGCGATGACACACTAAACAGATGTGAAATCTTGTTGAATGCACGTTTGTTATCAACAAGCTGCCGCTTAGTAGTATTCAGACCTACCATATCTGCGACACTCAAGTGCCTCAATAACAGACCGTTTCCACACGGATTAGTTTGTGCTGTTGAAACCTGTTGATGGCGTCTACATATTTAGAAGGATAACTGAAAAACAAAAGCGTCTGTATGGCGAGTGGTGGCAGCAATTTTGGATGAAAATAGCTAACGCTAGTATCTTAAAAAGGGTTAGCATATTGGTTTAACGGTGGTTCAGATGAGCATTTATTTGAGGCGATTGTTGCCTATTGTCATGTCTGAAACGAGGAATCTGTGATAATAATAGTTCCGTGGTCAGTGAATGCCTCTCTGTTAGCCTAAACCAAGTAGGCGGCTTGGTTGTGAAAAATAGATCTTAAAACCGGGTCCTTTGAGCTAAAACGAACGGTAAATTAGCTAAATGTAGTAGAAACATAGTGACGTAGATAAATATATTGTGGCTCATGATGACTATCCAGCCTAAGGAGCTAGACAGCACCATTGTCTTATCTAAGTATATGTACAATTTTAAGAGACACCTCAATTATTTTACAATAGCAACATGTCTTTTAATGACTGCATCTTTTTACAGTTTTGTTCTGGTTTGCTGGGTGACTGAGCCAATCTACTGTATAGAGAATACTCATTTTCAAAGACTGTGAAATGAGACAACCCAGTCAGTTTTTTTTCTAAGCTGCCCAGATCAGAAAACATGTGATTCAACAAGCCATTCAGATTTGACTCCCCTTCCTATGTTAAATGCGGGTTCATTAGAATATACTGGCCATGGTTTTAGAACTACTTTGCAAAAGTGCCCCATGATTTTTGCTCAAGCCAATCATAACAGTCTCTGCTTTTTTTCGGCAGTATGTATGAACCTGAAAATTAGCATATGTTCCCTTTAACAGCAAGTTTAATGCTGCAGTCCATGGTGCTAAAAAGATTGATGAATTAAATTTCAAGAAACACCTCAAATTTCACTTTTTGTATATTAGAAACACAAAACATTGTCAAAACATATTTGAAGTATTTGTCTATTCTTAAACCCTTCACACAATTTATTGCAAAGTTATAGCTTAATGTACACTCTGAGGTGAGCATACAGTAAATATGAGAAACAACATTTAGAACAATGTAATCAATATGGTTGTTGCTTGGTGCAGCCCTTCAGCCTCAAATCAAGTGGTGATAGTTCTTAAAAATGTCCTAAACAGGAACGACATGAACAACAGAGCACGTGTCATCAAGTTAAAACTCCTGTGTAAGACGTCTCTTGGACGCCATCAATTCTTTAGCAGAGAACTAAGAACTAACTCCAAACTCGACAAGAAAAAGGAAAGACATGGAAAGAGAATCAAGAAAATCAAGACAGTGGCTTTGGGCTGTAGGAGATTAACATAACATTGGAGGTAGACCGTGTCAAAGACATTAGCTTGCCGACAAATACAAGTCAAATGTAATCATGAGATGTCAAGAAAGGTCAAAATGTTGTGTGGTCGTTACTTTGACAACTGCACCATTATTGTTCAGATGATCACACCATCAATTAATGTTCAAGAGAAATTTATATGTAAATCAGCCAATTTGCAACTCGCAGGAAGAGGTTACAGGGTAACTGGTCAACATCTTTTTGAAGATTACTGTTGAGAGGAAATCCTTACTCCCTTGTTTGGGTGAACATCATAGGTATGACAAATATACCAAGTATGACATGTAGGCCACAGTTCTATCTAAAGGTTTATCTTTTGGGATTGATTTGGTAAAAAAAAAAAAATGGCTAATACAGAATTACTAATACAGGAACTACATTTTTACAGGAACCTTTTTACAACTCTTGGTTTGAAGATGTTTAGTTGCTATAATGAGTACAGTCCCACCATTCAGACATACTGTACTCGTTGTTGAGTCAGTAGTCAGTTCCTAAAATTAACAATAAGCAGCCATTTTAGCCAATCACAACAGAGATTAATTAAATCCTCTCTTTCTCCTTAATCATCTTATCCTCCTTAACCTGTGGATCTACGTAATATGTTGTGAGTGTTACTCTGGTACTAACAGAACTGTACACTAGAATTCAATCCATAAGTCACAACAAATAATAGAGAGGTGTTGATTCAGTTGTGTGGTTGGTGTTGCCACACAACACCTAACAATACAATGCAATATAAAAGCACAGATGATTGTCTTTCAGCTGACAACTGATCTTTAGACTCTGTTTAACATACATACATATTAGCTGTGATGTGTCCAGAGATACTGAGAATCTGATCAGTTATTGGTAAGTTATTTGCAAAAAATGCTTGTTTGTCTACAAAGATTGAACAGAATATAGAAATACACAGAACATATAACTCAAAGCTATGCAAAAGCTGAATCTTTGGATTTGTAAAAAATACTTAAATATAACACAATTAGTATCTACATGTGTTTGTGTGTCTCTAGGTGATAATGGCCAAGGTGAAGCAGGTGGGCTTGCTGGCAGCAGGCTGTCAGCCCTGGAATAAAGATGTGTGTGCTGCTAGTGGAGACCGCTTCGCCTACTGTGCTACTTTGGCTATATACATCTACCAGGTAAAGTACTTGTGTGTATTTGTGTTAATGAGAGTGGTGAATAATTCAAATCTAAGATGGCATTATGTTAGCATGCCACTTTCATCCTTTATCATAGGAAATGTGAGTTTACTGTATGGTTGATCTAATACAGTGTACAGATACAAATGGTATCCATAGGCAATAAACCACAATACATGCATCTTGGGGGCTGCAACGCCCGTAAACCATAATTATACACAGTGCAATGTATTCAAATCTTAAACAGAACTATTTAACTCATTCAAACACAATACACTACAACCCATTTACCCATGTGATGTTATATTTACTTTTGTTTGAAGGACATTACTGCATTACTTTCCCCCTCTTTAATTCCTTGTCATTCTCTCTGTCTCCTTGTTATAGTTGGATCTGCAGTACAATGAATTTAAATTGAGGTCAATCATGTCAGAGCACAAGAAGACCATAACAGCCATCAGCTGGTGTCCTGACAACCCTGATCTGTTTGCGTCAGCCTCTGCTGATAACCTGCTCATCGTATGGAACCTGGCAGAACAGAAGACTGTAGCCAGACTGGACAATACTAAAGGTTAATAGATGATCCACACCAGGTTTTATTGGCACACTAGAGTGTTTCACCCTCAGCCTACCAACATATTTGATATACACGCACTACCGGCTGTGGTCTCTGGGGACCCTAAGAATAAAGTACTATAAGAAACAACCATCATAGCAAAATGGTCATCTCAAATTGTTATTAGTCATGTATAGTTAAGTTACAGTTAATCTGCTTATTGTGTAAAAGGAAAATGAACAGCACATGAGGTCTGTGTCAAAATGACTTCCCCCTGATAGTGTGTGATACTTTAAATGTTCTATCTATTCTATTCAATCTATTAAAACTGAATAGGCTGCAATTGGGTGCTTTTGACGGGGGTTCTCCAGGACCCAGCTCTACTTAAAACAGAAACAGAAAACAATGATATAAAGTCATTAGGAACAAATTGATTGACAAAGTCAAAATATAATATAGCACCTGTGAGATATGACAAAAAGTATACTTCTGGGATCTGCGGGGACCCCAGTTGGGAGGATGATGGTTAAGGTTAGAGTACGGCAATGTCCTTTCCTGCATAAAGAGTCTCCTCTTCTTTCCCAGGTGTTCCTGCATCAGTAAGTTGGTGCTGGAACTTTGCTGACGGTGTGGCATTTGTCTCCCAACGCGGCCCGCTGTACATCTGGGTATATGGCGGTACTGACCCCGGGGTCACAGTGCATAAAGAAGCCCACTCCTTCCTGTCTGATATCTGTCTCTTTAGATGGCACCCCACCAAGAAGGGCAAACTGGTGTTTGGACACACAGATGGAAGTCTGTCTGTTTTTCAGCCAGGTACCTATGTTTTGATTAAAACACATTCACATTTATGTGTGGATTTTTTGGGGGACATTTCTTTGACTTTCGTTCATTGCTTGGAGGCATACACATTGAGCCTAACTATAACATACAGTATACTGTGCTTGTTGTAGGAATAGAAAAAATGTTTTCATTTACCACAAGAAAGACCACAATATGTATCAGTGCAAATCCTGGTCAGCCTCCCGAAGAAATTCTTTCTTAGCATATAATTACGGTTTCTGAAATTTCCCTAGGAAGGTGTGGAAGTGACCTTTCGTTCACTTGGAGTCTGGAGACAGACTCAATTTCCTCCCTCTCCCTGAATGTCGATCTTGTTAGAAGAGATTTTATGAGTAAACTATCTCTCCGCTGCCCAGTGAAATAAATCTCAACATTACCATCATAGAATTGGGCCTGCCATCAGTCTTCTACAAAGTCTAACGCTACTCTTGTCTTCAGTTTCCATAAGAGGTATGCTTCTGTAAACACACATTTTCATTATTCTGTCTGTCCTCTCTTGTTTAGGGAGTAAAGGCCAAAAGCATGTGTTGCGTCCAGAGTCATTAGAAGGAACAGATGAAGAGGACCCAGTCAGTGCTCTAGAATGGGACCCTTTGTCAACTGACTATCTACTAGGTGGGACAAAATATGATCAACATCACCAGTATTTTGTTAGCTGGAGTGATTTGAATTTGAAATAAGAAACAGGACTTCAAAAAGACATACAGAATAAAACAATGAAGTCAATTTTGATTTTAGCATACAGTTGTTTATCTGTGTTTTCTGAGCAATTACAATTTAGTACCATAAAATAACAAACACTGGGTCTATTTATGGGTCCAACCCATTCAGTTACTGGGTATTACACAAATCTCTGTGACAATAATTGCAACCTCAGATGCTAAATGATGAAAAAATTCTCTCTATCACAGTGTCTAACCTCCATAATGGCATCAGGCTGGTGGACAGCGAGGCCTTGGCTTGTATCACATCCTTCTGCTTCCCCTCAGCTGCTGCATCAGTTCAGTGTTTGGCCTGGGTTCCCTCTGCACCAGGCATGTTCATCACCGGAGGTAAAGACTGGACATTTCTGTGTGGGATGTGCGTATGATCTGGGTTCTCTTCTGCCTTCATGTGTTTACCGCTACAGTTGCCTTTCAGCCAGCTGGTATGTGGGACCTGTTGTTGCCACAGTGCCTCTGTCAATGTATTGATGCATATTAATTAATACTTATTATACTTTGGCTTCTTAAAAATACAGAAATACTTAGTATTATGCAACTTTAAGATAGGAGATGGAGTTTATATTAATACAACATGCTCAATATGACAGGGCACGTTTACAAACCAGTACAAATATTCAACACATTTGCATTATCTGTCTGTCAGACTCCCAGGTTGGAGTGTTGAGGGTATGGAATGTGTCTCGCTCCACTCCTTTGGACAGCTTTAAACTGAAAAAGACCGGATTTCATGCTATGCATGTCTTAAACTCCCCACTTGCCAAGAAAGGTAGGTATGTTTTGGACTAAAACCTTTTGAACTTCAAAAAGTGGTTTGAGCTGAAAAATACATACACCACAGCTTTTATAAGTCGCCGGGGTTCTATTTTATGGTATCAAAATCTTGTGCCAAATTAAATTATTGCAAATGCAAGTTTGACAGTAAATCCACATCTTCAGATTTGTGCTCTCAACGACAGCTTTGTGTCAGCCACCAAAGCGCAACAGATAAGATTGAAAATATCATGTCTTTTCTTAAATACACTGTGTGGGAATAAAGCAGCCATTCGAACACTGACCAATTCTACTTCTCCTCTTGTGTGGCTTCATTTGATTAGCTCAACAACTCTCTGTCCCTGAAATAAGGTTAACTGTTAGGAAATGTAAGGATTACCAAGATTTTTAGAATAACACAACAGATATTGTCTCTACAGCTCAGAGTTCCTGTTCTCCCAGTAAAAGTCACCACACCAGTTCCACCAGTGAGGCTATACCTCCCCCAACCCTGTCTCAGAACCGGTCCTTCTCTCTGCCTCCTGGCCATGCTGTGTGCTGTTTTATGGATGGAGGGGTGGGACTCTATGACATGGGGGCCAAGAAATGGGACTTCCTACGGGACTTGGTATTCTTTAACATCCTTTGTAAAGGCAACGGCCTACACATGCCTACACATGACTGAATGAAGAAGCCTTGTACTGTGATTTTGACTTGGTTTAATGTTGTTTCCAGGGTCATGTAGAGACTATTTTTGACTGTAAGTTTAAGCCAGATGATCACAACCTGCTGGCCACAGCTAGTTTTGATGGAACCATCAAAATCTGGGACACAGACACGCTAACAGCTGTTTACACCTCCCCCGGCAATGAAGGAGTGGTCTATTCCCTGTCATGGGCTCCAGGTATTTTAGCTCCACCTCTACACACACTACAAGCCTCATGCATGCATACAGCCAACACAAAAATCTATTGCCAGGTTTCCACCAAGACGTTCCTGGTAATTTTTGTCCTGGGACTACTTTTTAAGGTACTAAAAGGTTCCTTCAGCCAATTGTTGTCAGAGTTTTCATAGTGCTCTAAAGACCTGCTAAGATTAGACAAATTTATCTGTGGAGTATGAAAAAGCAACATGACATGGGACGAGGGCTGTTGGTGGTCGCAGGGTAAACATTTTATCTAAAAAAAAACATGTTGCACAAAAAAAAAAAAAAAAAAAGAACTTGGTTGTGTCTCACTGCAACGACATCTACTGCTGCATACTATTTACTGCTGCACATTGGATGTTATGACTGAAATGCAGAGGATGAAAATTAAACTAAGATTGTCAGTGTCCACAGTAAATCATCTGAAACAATCAGGAAATAACCTTTTTTATCTTATTCACAGCACCGTGCCGCTGTCCCTTCTATCATTCGCCCTCTCCGCTTGCGATTTCTTTGCCTTTTTAAAAATGAGTCAGAAAGTGACAGCAAAGCCTAACTTACTTTTAATGTTATCAAACATTAACATTCTGAGAGACAGTAAACCTACACTAATTAATGTGCTTTCATAAGCGCTTTGATACGGGGAGTGAATGAATGAGGAAATGAAACAGCCTCTGTAAGAGGGAGGAGACAGAGAAGTTAAGGGTTTGTTAAAGAAAACCTGCTAGCGAGCAGGTTAGGTTCACAGAGTCAGTTACTATGTTAACAGACCCAGTGTTTAAGTTACCTTTCTGGAACTTAAAACCCATGATTTCTCTCATCTCAGGGTTAACTAACTCACGAGTTTTCACTAAACCTGCTTTCTGAAACAGGTCCCAGGGTCTTTTGGGGGGTAAAATGTCCCATGACTTAATTTAGACCCTAGACCCTAGACCCTGTGGTTGAAAAGTAATGAGGTTCTCTTAAGATTCCTAGTTCTGGGGGAAACTTCCTGCGGTTGAAAAGTAGCTTATGCATGAAACCTTTTTGACCGTGAAGTACTAAGGAAGGACTTACAATCCACTGTAGGTGATCAGAACATCTAAACATACATAAACACAACCTAAACATCCCGGCCCGTAGAATACAAGTACATACACAAACAGGTCAGGTATGTGGTACAAAAGACAATAAAGTTCATCATCTGTTGCTTATGTGTTGGTGACCTTTGTGTGTGTTTTGAAGGAGACCTGAACTGCATTGCAGGCGCAACATCTCGTAATGGAGCGTTCATCTGGGACGTCAAGAAAGGAAAGATCATCACTCGCTTTAATGAGGTTCCTTTGACTTTCAGTTCCAAATGGCCTTGCAAAACAAATCTGTGTATCATGTATGAAAATCACCAGTTAATCACTTGTCTTAATAAGTTAAAATGTGGTGGCTGTCTCCCCCTTTTTTCTGCTGACAATCTAAAAAAACGTATTACAATTTAAAAGTGAAAATTAGCTTTTTATAAATGATTACTCTATCCTTGCTAACTGCCCCTTAGTGAAACATCTGACTAACTTATTCAAAATTATGGATGGTATGATGTCTGCAGTGACGACCTCTCTGTCTTCCTCCAGCATGGTAAGAACGGTATATTCTGTATATCATGGAGCCATAAGGATTCTAAGAGGATTGCTACCTGTAGTGGAGATGGATTCTGGTCAGTCCTCATTTTCCCTGATACCTCTATTCTGACAATAATAAAGCACAATATTTGTCTTTCATAGAAGTCTTACACGTTGTTGTTTTTCTGACTACAGTATCATCCGGACCATCGATGGTAAAATCCTCCATAAGTACAAACATCCGGCTGCTGTGTTTGGTTGTGACTGGAGCCAAAACAACAAGTAGGACCTTAATCCATGAGCCATCTTTCTCAGTGGGGAGGTCAATATGCATTGGAGAGTCAGATACTTCTTTCACTTATTTAAACAGTTTATATACAACTGGACCTGAGAGACAAACTTATTTTCAACAGAAACAACATATTGAAACACAATTACAGGATACTACTAGATAAACAAAGCAGGATAACAGAAAAGATAAAAAGGAGGCTAATAAAGGTTTGGAAGAATAAAACAAAAAAAAAAAAAAAGGAAGAATTGGTCAAAATTGCCATTCTTTGTGAGAAAGAATGGAGACGAGTGTAGCTGGGACTGCAAAATCAGACCAGTTCCCATCCTGTCCAAACTTTTTGCACATAAACCCTATTGTGACATTTGGTAGTTTTACACACATCTTCCTGTCTCCTTTTCTCTCTCTTTAGGGATATGATAGCAACAGGCTGTGAGGATAAAAATGTTCGTGTGTACTACCTGGCCACCAGCTCCGATCAGCCTCTAAAGGTCTTCACTGGGCACTTAGCTAAAGTATTCCATGTTCGCTGGTCTCCACTTAGAGAGGGAATACTGTGCTCTGGATCAGATGATGGGTGAGTGCAGACACAGATAGCTACAGAGTAAAATCGACAGTGTCAATGAAACACTTATAGAGTCAATTTTAACACTGATTCAGTGAACATATGGTCCCTATCTACAGAGTGTTAAAGCTACACTGGACATAGTGTTACATTTTTAGAGTCAATTTAACTCTGGTTAGAGTTCATATTTTACACTACACTACACTGAGAAGTGTTACTCAAATTTGACACTATGATGTAAATAACACTCGTAGTGTTATTTAAATTTGACACTAGGTCTTTTTGAGTGTTAATCAAAATTAACTAGTTAAGTTACTCTTCATGAGTGTTGGACCTACTTGACACTAAGTATTGATTAAGAAATTACTCCAAATACAGTGTTGCTTTTTAACTGACTCCTGCCAGTGTTAAAACATATTTACTCCCTTAGTGTAATTCTTACCCAACACCTTATTTTCAATTTACTCCTTTTTTACTCTTCAACAGAACACTTAAGAGTTTTGCATTTTCTACTTTACCATGTCAGCTAACACTTCAAACAATAAAACAAAAAATGTTTGCAGGGGAAAAAACAACAAACACCATTATATCCATATCTTAATAACAATTTATTAAAAATAAAAAAACATTAGTTTGCATACAATTTTTCATCATCAGTTTAGAGATGCAAGTGTAACTCCCATTTGTGCTACATTGTGCAACAATTAAACATCACTTTCAGTTTCAAAGATGGAAAAAATAAATTGTTCTTAAAAGACATGGTATATTTAGAATAGTACAATCTTAACAATGTCTGTAAACACTGAAAACTGTGTGTTTACAGTGCATTTAGAGGATACACACATCCGAGTACAATTCAAGTCCTTTTCACCTTAGAACAAACTTCGCTATCATCTGCAATCTACCAAGCAATTCAAACTAAGATCTGATTGGCCATTGAAAGAGTTGGGATGTTATTTTGGCTTTAAATATTCTGATTATCTGCTGCCTTCAGACATTGTACTGCTGCTGGGAAAACTGAGAAAAACTAAAATCATAGGGTTGTCATTTTTTATTTGAAATACTAATTCTGTAACTATATGTTATATCAAATTTGACTACAGTTAGATTTAATATTGGATTTTTGATTTGCCACAGATAGTCTTCTATACCAGCAGGTGTTTGAATTACATTTTTAAAGGAGAGATTCACAGATTTCTACCTTTATTTCAATTTATCTGCTCAAGGTGTAAATCTAACTGCACTCAAATTTGATATTAAAACATATAGTTACAGATACAATATTTTAAATTGACATCCCTCATGACTCTATTGTAAAGGTCTTGTTTGGAATTTATTAGTATCTTGGCAGATGATAGAAAGTTGTCTCTAAGTTGAATAACAATAACTATTTTAACCAGTAAATGACTCAAGTCTTGCTGGCAGAAATTGTACAAACAAACAATTCTTCATATTGAACAGCCACATCCAATTTAACAGACACAGTTCTGAGTTGAGTACAGCCCTAAAATAAATATATATATATATATATCTTTCCCACAATCGTAGAAGAACAGATGTGCTTGAAGAAGAGATATCTAAATTACCTCAGTTTCAGTCACCTTTCGTCCGGTTGTGTTCCTTGACATTATGCTCTCCTCCAGGTTTCTTGGCCAACGCAGATTTTTCCAACTGTGAAACGATGATTTTTATTTTAAATCACATGATGGTATCTGTAAAAACAGCAAAAGTGAAATCACATTATGACCTACAACACAATTCATTCTGAGACAACACTGAGGTTAAATTTAACACTAACTAGCTTTTGTGAAACACACATTAAAAATGACTGAATATAAATGTAGACAGCAATATAACGCTCACGTTACTTTGAAAAGTGCTTATTCAGTTTAACAGACAAAAAATAAACTATTAATTTAAACTAATTGGCTTTAAAGTGAATCCTTGCAGGAGGGCCCATGCACTCAAAGGGAAGGTTTGTCCCAGATAATATCACATCTCCCCACACACGCAGTATTTGCTATTTACTGTCATCTATGGGCATTGAAAACAATACAACACTGTCAGTCCTCCACATTGACCTCTCTTGCCCACATTGTGGAGTTTGATGTTAGCTAGTTAGCCTAGCTAACTTAATGTACGAGCACATTTGAGCTAACGTTAGCTTTCAACTCCGTCAGGTTAGCCCTCTGCTATTCGGTATTTCAAGACACAAAAACAACTGGAGTGTATGTTGAACAACAATATTAAGCTATTCGAATTATTCTTTTCTGCTGAAATGCCAAAATTTGGTTTGATACGTGATTTAGAGAAACTTACCACAGTCTGTCGAGAAGTGCATAATGGCGGCACGGTGAAACTCCTGATCCGTTTGAAAGGAGAAGGAGGGGGGCGGAGCTTACCAGAGTACAGAGTTCTTTCCAGAGAACACTTGTCGCAGTGAACAATGACATCAACACTGGGGGACGTTTTACTCTTGCTGTTGTTGCAATAACTCTGAAATAGTCAATGCACTTTGACACTGCATATTATACAGTGAAAAGTTTAACTCTGATTATTTTCACCAACACTGGCCGATAAATTGGTAGTAATTACTCTTGCCGTTGTTGTAATAACTCTGAAAGAGTCCATATACTTTGACAATGCATATTTGACACTGGGGAATTTACTGTGTACTGCAAATTAACACTATTTAATAGTTTTTTTTTGGATGAGATGGACATTTAATTTGGAATCTGTTTCACTGCAAAATGATAAGGTACAAGAACAAGAAATCAAATAAGAATATTATAACATATACATCACGCATACAAGTAAACATGTGGATTACAAAATGTGGACATTGTGTGTTAACAGCATGTATGTATTGATAGCCAAATATGAAATGTGTCATGTATGTGTCATTTTGAAACTCTAAATGAAATGGAATCTTAAACGATTTTTATAAAGAGGTTTTGTAGAGTTGACATGTAGAAACACATTTTTACCAGTTTCAAAACATTGGCCCAACAATTATTTGTCCCTTTTTATTTTTATTTTTTTTTATTTGTCAAGAGATTTTTAAAGATCTTTTTTATTGTGTATTATTATAATGTCATTACCAATCCCTGATGTCACCCACCAAAATCCAAAGCACACGATTACTATCATTTATTTTTAAATCGATTGACTTGTCTTTTGCGAGGACTAACTTCAGACAGCAAACAAGTTATTTAATTATTTCAGATGTATCAGAAATGTTTAACATATACAACAGGCATTCTTTTGTATTATTATCTGTTGTTAAACACACAAAGTAATTATCAATCATTTATAACTCAAACTCTGCAGTCATTGATGTGAATATACCTGCATTTTATATGGGGAAGAAAACAAGCATTAGGCATTTATGTAATCATTTGAAATGAATGAAAAGGGAAACCCCTGTCTGTGTGTCTGTCTGTGCAGCACTGTTCGTATATGGGACTACACACAGGATGTGTGTATCAATGTGTTGAGTGGTCATGCAGCTCCTGTCAGAGGCTTGATGTGGAACACAGAGATTCCGTACCTCCTTATTTCAGGTAACGTCATGAGAAGTACTTTTTTTGATTTTCCAGTTACCTTCTTTTACACCAACTGTTTTGTGATCAATGTGTTGTAATTGTCTCCACTGTTCAGCTACTTTTGTTCTTGCTTGTCAATGTCTGTCCACTGTAGTCCGAACAGGCCAACAGATATTTAAGAACTACAAAAAATAAATCAACATAAGTACCAAGGCAGTGTTTACACCTATTGTTCTGTTCAATGTATATATTTTAATCATATAACATATATAATATATAATATATATTGTATTTTTATGTTCTTTAGTAACAGCTGTCACCATTTTGCCTTACAAAATGTTACAGTGGATAGAAAGTGAAAGGCTGATGGTGGGTTTGAGGTTTATATTTAGAGTAACAACTGGTTCTGTGGAATTGAATCAGAGAGCTGTACACAGGTCAGCCAGAAGCCAGTAGCTTTATGTAAAGAAACCTCTTGGTACGATTTTTGTCGCTATCAACTGATGATATGGAAGATCTCTATAGGCAGTTGTAGGAAAAACATGTCTCCTCTGCAATCCTCTGTTTTTGAGCAAATTATGCATTTAATTTTCAGGTTTATCAGCTGTTGCTTATAGCTCATATTGTGCTTCTGAGATGGTTCACACATAGATAGGTTCACAGAGTCAGTTACTATGGTATGATCCAGAGTTTATGTTATCCGTCTTTCTGACACTGAGTCTAAAGCTCCTTCCATGATTTTATACTCTGCCTGTTTAAAATCTCTGCAACCATTTAGCTGACAATTGAGCGACTGGCATAAAACTGTTGCAAGTCCTTTATAATATATTACTAATTGCATTTTTAACATAATGATGCATGACAGAGTAGGTGGTGTTGCATTTAGATTAGTGACAGTTTTGCTGACATGTGTACGATGTACAATGGATTGTATTGAAGGGACTATGCTGTCAGAGGTTGTTGAATTCAAATTCTAAAATGTTGTATTATTTTGTAGGTTCTTGGGATTATACAATCAGAGTGTGGGACACAAGAGATGGCACATGTCTAGATGCAGTCTACGACCACGGAGCTGATGTCTATGGTAAGACAGAACAACCTGAAACAGAACAACCTGTTAGACTTTTTATACAGCTGATATATGATGGGTGTCAATTATTCATGTGATGAAGTGAAGGTCCTTCACTTAAAATGCAATAAAAGCTGTCAGTTATTGCAGTTAGTTATTTAATACACCTTGTGCTGCAACCTGGATACATCGTCAGCGATGGACTCGATTTCTTCAGGTGTTTCGGGTCTTGACATCAGACACCCTTACCTGGACGACCCAGCCGGGGGTGATCAAGCCCTGACTTGTGTTCATGTAGCACATTATGCCAAATGTCACCCTTCTTCAACAAGAGCCAATGGGAAGCCTTTTTAGGGGCTTCCAATACATTCCTGATGGCTCATCTTATTCGCCAATAGTCCCAGGGCCGATGTAGAGACTGGCCCCTGCAGCCCAATTCAACTGGCTCACAGCAGGCCTTCCACCATTCCATCAACATTCAGCTACCAGGTCTACATACTTGGCTCTCTTCCTTTCTTGCCCATCCTCCATCCAATCTTCCCAGGGGATAGTTTGCTCTTGTGGTGGAAAATATTCCTATACCCGCTTTGCGTGAGTCTTTTAATGCTGAAATACATAATACCAAAAACCAGGTTGTCTTTTAAGTATTTATTCTCTGCGCAGAGAAGGTTCATTCATCACAACAGAATGCGTACAGTCTCAGTGAGGAAGAACCAAGAACAAAGTGAACAAGCTTTCTTTATACAGAATGAGCAAAGGTGGGGGCCGATGGCCAATGTTACAGACATTTCAGTCTCAGACTTTTGGTCTCAGACTGATAGGAACAACATTCAAAAACAAACGGTCAGCAACCAAAGCAAAGGCCTTGGTGCTGGAACATTCTCATACAACACAGTTAGTTATCTTTGTGAACAGGCAAGGGATAATTCTTCTTTTGTACAACAGAGACACAGTGAAGTTCAACAAAGTTCAGAGCAAAATTACTTATGCATGAATACAATATACTGAGTAGAAATATATACTACAGAAAAAAATACCATTACACTCTAGCAAAACCTCTTACTCTGTTGCCAACATGTGGTAGCTGCAGGGACCTGCGGTCAGGGGAGGCAGGGGAGGCAGAGCCTCACCTGTCATCATGAAAAGTAAAAAACAAATAATGATAAAATAAAAATAAATAAAATTTCTCTACTGATCTGTGCTATAAATGTAATTTCTGTATGATTTCAATAATTTTAAGCATTTTTAGAGTCACAATCGCTGAATTTGCGCATGTCCTGTTCAAACAGAGAGGAGACACGCGAGGTGAAGGCAGCGAAGAGATCTGCCTCACCTCAGATTGTGCAATCCCTAACAAACTGGGTTGAGCGCGTGGCTTTTGCTTTCTCATTGTTTGTCACCACTGTAATATTTGTTGACACTTGTATTATATGTCCTTTCTTTCCATAGAATAGGTCATGTATTTCACGTATGTGTAGAACATATTTAGTCGTTGCTGATCTGACAGAAACCGCAGTGAAAAAGCACAGAGGGGAGGCACACAGTACCTCTGCCTCAATGAAGGGGGCGTTCTTCTACACTTCTCTTCTTCTTCTTATATTTTGACCGCAAACATTTAAGATTAAATATCTAAGCTTAAACAATTCTCAAAAAACAGGGAAATATGACCAAATCAACAGCAATTCAACGGCGGACAGGTAAAGTAAACTTTTATGTGTTGTTTGTTCTCTTTATAAATCCGTGGTTGTTACACAGATTATAGCGGGATCCCGCGAGCGCTCCGCTTCTTAAACAGGTTGGTGGGGCAGGTCGCAGATCGCGGCACACACGCTCCTGGTGCATTCAAATATGTACCTTACCTATGTGTGTGCAAAGAATGCTGATATGAAAAACAACCAGTAGTCAATGTGCAAGCTGCCAATTGAATAGTGATTTAAGATACTCTATATTGGGTTCATATATTTGTAAATCTGACTCTGAAAGATCGAGTCAGTGCCTCACCAGCCACGAACCTCACCGCACGTCACTGTGGTAGCTGCAATAATATCAGTGAACCTCAGTTGCCTCCCTAGGTTGACCAGGAACTGCCAGCCTCTTGCTGTTGGGAGCAGACCATCCTGGCCACACCCTGCTCAAACAAAGGCGATTGTAGATGTATTTGATGAGTAATATGGATTTCAAGCAATAGGTGGTGATTTTGTTACAGGCCTAGGCTGGCCTCAGCCTATTTAGTTGATGCCAGTAAATGTAGGTGTTGATAACTGGGGAAGGAAACAGTTTTGGACTGTGCTCAGTTAACATCATGTGGCATTATTTGTTTTAACTTTGGAACCAAATGTATTGGACATCGATAGTCTACTACACCGGAGCTACTGGAGTGTTACCGGGCCATCAGGTATCGGGACGTCAGACCGTCTATGCCGGCCATCGTTGGGGGTATGTTCAGCGCTGACTAAAATATGAATGGCCGTTGTTAATGTGTGTGCACACATTAATAGGTGTTATAAATCAAATGCATTGGTTGCAGCTGTTTGTAAACAATGTGTGCGAGTATTGTTTCGCGGGTGTAAAGACTGACGTTAAATGGACTTAAGTAGGTCACTGACTTACTATAAACATGGAACAGGAAAACATGAAGCAACTTCAGGATTCTCTTGCTGATCATAAGCAGGCAGTTGGTGAGACTGAACTTGATGGGGGGGAGAACCAGAGTTGGGCACTGTAAAAAAATGCTCTGTTAATGAACACCTAAAGCATTGATAGAAAAAAATTGGCAATTTACAAAAAGAGAGAAAGATTAAATGAAACTAACAAGTTCAACTTACAAGTTCATGGTGTGATGAAGCAAAACCAATCATTTGACTCTCCCAAAAGATGAAGCAGAAAAACATAAACTCTGGTACAAAGCAAAAATGTTGTGAATGTCAGGGATTTTATTGCTGATAAGTGGTTGTCTAAAACTCAAAAGTTGCCCTGTTGCAGATTACTGTGATAGAGGAGCCTTACTCAACCTCATTTTATATTCTACAGCATTTGAAATGTTAAATCAAACACCTCCAGTAAAAGTCATGTAAGCTCCAAAAGCAATACATCTTCTACTTCATCTACACGCATTAAAGCAGAGGCAGACAGGCCACACTCATGGCTCGTGCTGCTACTTTAATAAAGCAACACGCTATGGAGGAACGGGCAGATCTCTTAAGTTCAGAAAAGGAGCAGCACTGAACAGTGATTCAGATGGACAATCCGATGGAATGGAGTCTTATGTGAGGAAAGAGGCCATTAAAGACAACATCCAACATCTCTCAATCCACATGGCAAAAAATATGAGGCTCAGTATGAGCAGTCCTCACGGCAGCACGTCTCTTCAATCAATGTCGTTCATTGGGGATAGAGCAGTTGCATTTGATTACCAGAACTTCAAGGATGCATCTCATAACTAAACTAAACTATTAAGCAGGCTGATGCTACATCTCAAAAACAATAAGTCAACTTTGAATCCTCGGAGCATCAAAGAAAGCCAGAAGTCGTTCAAAGCTCTCTACATTGTCATGGCAATCATCACACATCAGGAGAACTCTACAGTTGGCTGCAACGGCAAAACGAGATTTCAATCAGGAGAGAAAAGTCAGATAAAGAAAAGATAATTATTTATTATAAACAGATGATATGTGATGATAAAGTCTTCAGAATCTTTGGCGCTTTGACTCTACGGGGAGATTTGTAATGGAGGGGCGTCTGCTCCGGAGCTTGACAAATCCAAGCATCCCCCCGTGGAGTCTAGACGCTGGTGGTGATGGTGGCTGATGAAGCTGATAGAATGATGAGTTGATGAAGCTGATGAATCTGATGAAGATTGGGTGGAGATGGGTATGTGAAAGTGTTGCGTAACAGCAGCATGAACGTACTGAAGGTAGATAGACAGTCATATTTAAGAGAGACAGCAGCAAAATGATAGGCTACTGATGTAATTGTTTCGTTGTGCTATTGGATAGAAGAGACCAATCAGAGGGTCAGTGGTTCGATCCCTGGCTCCGGCTCTGCTAGTCACATGTCCTTGAGCAAGACACTTAACCCCAAAATTGCTCCCGTAGCTGTGCCTACGGTGTAGAAATGTGATAGAATCTGAATTGTAAGTTGCTTTGGATAAAAGCGTCTGCAAAATGACTAATGTAATGCACATAGTCACGCATTGGAGCAGTGTACACAGGGAATAGTTAAACTTTCTAAAGGAGAAAGGTCTTTGTTTCGGTTGCTTGTGCACAGGACACTTAAGCAAGAATTACTTGCGTGCAATGCAACCAAACTCATCCCAGCATTTTGCATATTGGATAAAGGGAAAGGATTATCCATGGAGATACGCAACTACTTGCGCAACTACTTCAACTTGTGGTCATACAGGGACTGGCAACAGCAACGGCATTCCTCCCATCTTACCAGTACAAGTGAAGTGCACAATGGGAAATAGGTGATTGAGGCATATGCTCTTCTGGATCCAGGAAGCACTGGTACCTTGTGTTCTGAAAAAGTGGGGGACAGTCCTTCCACTGAAGGACGAAAAGCTAAAATTCATCTACGCACCATGGGTCATAATAAGGCATTAATAAGCTGCATTATTAATTGCTTGGAAATTTCCGAATTATCTGGCAAACATTTCTATGAGCTTCCCAATGTATTTACCCAGAAAGAGATGGCTGTGTCCATAGACAATATTATGACGAGGAGCTGGCTAACTCGTGTAATCTATAAGGTATTCAGATTCCTTGTATAAGAGCTGATGTTGACCTTGGAAGGTGATTACCAGTCATGGAAATGGACCATATGCTGTCGGAACCTTATTGTGGGTGGGTGGGTGATTAATGGTCCATTACGAGGAAACAATGACAAGCAGAGTGGGAATGACTACCCTGCAGTTACTGTAAACAGGACTATTTTTGACAGGATAGAGCAATTGTTAACCAACCAAACTATGACTTTAATGAGACAACCTCTAAAGACCAAGAAGAGATGAAAACAAGTCTGTAGAAATTGCTTTGCTGAATGAGTGCCACGTCAGTTGGAACCCCTTGAAGGAAGGGTATGGTATATACTTTGCCGTGGAGTGTATCGTCCAAGGAACTTTAAGTGTTGTGTTTGAGTGTGGCGAATAGTTCAAAGGGGTCTCGCTCAACAGTCAACTTCTGCAAGGCCCTTATCTGACCAGCTGGTGGGAGTCCTTATGCGGTCCAAGTCAAGGTGGCAGAGGAACATTTGGATTTCTTAAGGTTCTTGTGGTGATGACTGTCCATTTATTTGGGGCATTATCTTCACCCAGCTGTGCATGCCTTGCTTTTAGGAAGACTGATGAGGATAACCAAACCAGCTTTCCTGCAGAAGTGATTGACACAGTTAACAGAAACTTCTACGTGAATGACCTTTTAAAGAGCCTGCCCTCTGAAGGGGATGCTGTCAGCATAGTTGAGAACCTCATAGCTGTTTGTAAAAGAGGAGGTTTCAATCTCACAAAATGGATGAATAATAGTCGGTAAGTGCTTCAAAGCATTCAAGAAGAATACAAATCGAAGAATCTGCACGAGCTGGATCTGGACAGAGATAAGCTGCCTGTCAGGATCCCTGTCAGACCAGACACCTCCCATGGCCACACAGCTGCAGCCACTCCAGCCGATTACCTCCTGCAGGCTGACACACCAGACTCAGGTCCCACTAACGCTTCCCCTGGCACTATATAAACTCTGGTCCTGCAGTCTGGGGTTGTCAGGTCGTACCGTCTTTCACCCGCTTCAACCCCTTCAACCCCGTTGCATCTTCGGCCTCGAGCGCCTGCCTCCGGTGTCCATCGGTCCGGGAATCCCCCGTGCCCTCCTTTGTGTTTACGGACAACTCACCGCCGCTCTGCCCTCCATTGTGTTAACGGACTACTCACGCCGTCAAGCTGCCAGCTCTCCGGTGTCGAGCCACGGGACTCACACTGTCGATCTGCCTACTCTCTGGTGTCGAGCCACGGGACATCACGCCGTCAAGCTGCCAGCCCTCCGGTGTTGAGCCACGGGACTCACACCGTTGATCTGCCTAATCTCTGGTGTCGGACCACGGGCTCCACACCTTCCTGTCATCTGTACTCTGGCTAAATAAAGTCTGTTTCACCGTACTCTGTCTCCTGTGGTCTTGCGTTTTGGGTCCTACCCGTGAACTCCCGTGACACTGCCAATGGAGAGGGCTTATGGTCTGCAACTGTGCATCGAGACAGATGTTTTAGATTTAGAGATTCCACAATAAAATTGCTGCATTAACATCTAGCAAACCATAAGTACAAAAGCTTAGCACCATCTACAAACTGGATCCGATTGTAGAAGAAATGCTTCTGAGAGTTGGAGGACAACTGAATAAAGGAAAATTGCCAGAGAATATAAAACATCCCCTGAAAGACAAGCATGTCTCAAATCTTATTCTCCATCATTTTCATGAAAAGCTGGGCCATGGCGGGAGTAATCATGTTTTTTCCACTGTAAGGAGAAAATACTGGATCACAAACGCCATCGCTGCAGTAAGGAAAATCATAGCAAATTGCAGATTTTGCAAGCGTTACAGAGGAAAGACGGGTGAAGAAAATTGTCTCTGATCTCCCTCCATTCCTAATGTTGTGGTTTATTTTGGTCCAGTTTAAGTGAAAAGAGGACGTAAGATCATGAAACATTATGGGGTAATCTTCACTTGCATTGCAAGTATAGGGCCGTGCACCTGGATGTTGCTTACTCTCTTGATACAAACTCACATATCAACGCTTTGCGAAGATTTATCTGGTGGTGAGGACAACGGTACCAACTTTGTGGGAGCAGAAAGAGACCTTAGAGAAGCCTTAGCTTCTTTAAAATATAACCACATTGAACGGTCTTCGGACTTTGGGAGCACATCATACGGAAGATCAAAAAGATTGGAAGTTTTGTCCTCCGTCAGCAAAGTTTGGACGATGAAGGGTTTCAAACTGTTCTTTGTTAAGCTGAAGCAATGCTAAATGATTGCCGATCTCTACTGGAAAAGATGGGTTCATGAGTATCTACTGTTATTGCAAGAACGACAAAGGGAAAAAGAAATTTCATGCCCGGAGATGTTGTTGTCGTGGCTTCTACTGCACCACGTGGATCATGAATGCTTGGACGAAACCTTTTCTGATAAAAAGGGTCTGGTACGTTGCATTCGTCGAAAAATAAAGACCAATATAATAGAAATATTTGTGAACAGAATCTTTTTTTTGGTAGATGCCTGTTTAGTTGATGCAGTAATCGCAGGTTTTTTTGATTTGTGGAGGAAGTAAACAGTTATTGACTGTGCTCGGTTAACAACGTGTGGCATTATTTATTTTAACTTTGTGACCAAACTTATTGGAGGAGACGTACACTCGAGGGAAATATAAATGCAAAGATATAAAGTGTTGGTAATGTTGTGTATTGTTTTTCTGAGCACACGTCTAATTCAATTCAAGTCAATTCACTGACTGGAGTAAGAACTTCAATCGGTATGGTTTCGCCTACCAGAGTTCTGCCCAGGTCATCTCTCAGCCAATTGTATGCTCCCACTGGGTCCAGGCCCCCTGCTTGCACTTACCGCCATTCTTCTATAGCTTCCTTCACCTCTGCTTCCTTCACCTCCTTCTGGATTAGCTTTTGACTCTTCTTTCTCCAGGCTTTATCGCAGCAAGATCTTGCATTTCTCCTGAGTCTGGCCCAACCAGTTGCCACAGTTCCCATCAAGATACTATGCCACAGCCTTGACCCGCTCAACTGCCTCCGACACATGTCATTTCTTTCCCGTTCTGACCTTGATGCCTGCTGATGAGATTTTGGCATCAGCAGAATCTTGTTAGAGCAGGATTTCTCTGGCTTGGGTGACCTTGAACTCCTCTCTCGGACAGCTAAAAGGAAGCTGCAGATAGGTGCCCATCAGTGGCGGGCCGTGCATTTTATACCTGGGCCTTCTGTGCTGTCCTACTACATTTGAATTACCTCCTAATAACCTCATTATGACACATCAATCCAACAAACATGCAGCGGATCCACGCATCTAGCTAGCCTTCCAGCTAACACTAGAGGTCCTGAGACAGGCGCACGCTAACACGTCACCTCCGTTGTAAATAGAGCAATCCAGGTGACAGATGGCTAACTAGCTGTTATATGTGGAGTGGATGTGAATGAGACCGATATGCTTGGTATGAAATGAATAATTAAATAAGTAAATGTAAACTAATATGCAAAGCTCCTGGTTAATGGCTGAGAGGTTTGTATTTAACAGTATATTGTTTGCATCTTGCAATAAATATTAATATGTTTTTGATCACTTTGTGTTGTGTCTATTTGCCAGTTCTGTTCAAAAACTATGTGTTTTGAGACATTGCTGGCCTTTCAATGTCATTTATAAATGCTTTGTAAGGCATAAATAGTCCTCACTTTAAATGAGGTCACACAAAATACTTAATAAATGCTTTATAAGGCATAAATAGTCCTCACTTTAGATGAGGTCACATAAAACACTTTACTAATGAGTAGTAACTACCTTAATAAATCATGAATTAATCATGAATTGCAGTATTAATATGTGTTTATAAAGCATATATTAACATAGTCCCTAACCATTATATATATATAAATGCATGAATAATGTACATCTAAATAAGTTATCATTTACTAACACTTTATAAATGATCTTATTAGTCATCTACAACTCCTTAATTGGTTTGTAAAATATATAATACTTCATTTACAAATGGGGAATCCATCATTTATAAAGTATGAAAACACAATAATGAAACACAATAGACGGGCTTATTAATCAAGAATAAAACATTTACAACTGTTGTTATGAACTGTATACTAATGAATTATTAATGTAGGAACAATGCTTTATAAATGATGAATTAAGTGTTTACTCATACTTAACTAATGCTTCATAGTGTGTAGTTATTATAAATTGCTACCAAAAATGAATAAACTACACCAATCAAAACCCTAAAAATGTTATAATTTCTTCCATATCTTTCAATTTCAACTCTTACTCCTCCAACTAAGAGCTGCACCTGAAAACTGAGCTGCCCGTTAATGCTGACGTAGTTGTATTGTATTTATGGAAAATTATTAAATTATAAAATAGCTATAACTTTGTGATTCTGTTTAGGCCAGCAGAGAAGACCTTGAAGGCCCTGATAGCCCACCACTGGTGCCCATTAAGGGTGATGCTTAGGCTCCGTGGCAGGTCCAGCCACATGCACAGGAACTGGCTGATCTTCCTTTTGAAAGCCTTCCACGATGGTTATTGGGATTTTGTAGAACTCCAGTTACTTTGCTGAATCTTGGTATTACATGATTGCTAACATAGAGTTTTGAACCGTAACTCTCAACTACTGCAATACTACCCAACTATTTCTGTTATGACATGCATTTGCCAAACTGTGTGTGTGTCTGTAGGTTTAACATGTCATCAGAGTCGTCCGTTCACCATGGCCAGCTGTAGCAGAGACAGTACAGTGAGGCTTTGGTCTCTCACACCCCTCATCTCTCCACTGCTGCTGAACATCCTCACCAACCAGCCTTGGGAAAAGATAATAGGAAACACAGGTAAGAACAGGATCCTGCTTACTTCTTTTTGGTGGTGTTTTCTTCTTATACCTCATTTGACCATGCTGGTTGTGTGTGTCTGCAGACACAGCTATGGTTCCCGGCTCTCCACCGATGCTCTGTGGTAAAGTGTCTCGAGACATCAAGCAGGAGCTGGATAAACTGAGCTCTGACATCAGGGTCAAGAAACTCCGCTGGTTCTCTGAATGCTTTTCGGTACCTACATTGTGAATGCTTATTTATGACTGGGGATGATATCAGTGTGATACCTTCAGAATGTCTATAGACAGTCATTTTTCACAGTTGTCTCCACGATCTGATGCAATCTGTGTCTGCATTTTTAGCAGTTCATCTCACAGCTTTCAACACACAGCTGGGAATTGATCCTCATTGATTGCCTCAGATTTTTGCTGCTAAACATGAGTTCACTACAGGGGACTTTGTTTTCATGACAAAAGCCCAGCTGATATTGCATATTTGAACTGGAAATCTAAAAATCAGTTTATACATTGAATATCCAGCTTGCCAGTCTGTTTCGTTAAGGTTCTCTCTGTTGCTGGCACACTATTTTGGACTATTTGGTTGATTAATGGGCGGGAGGCTACATGATCTGAGGAAATGAGGAAGCATAATTGGCACCCAAAGGTGAGTCCATCAAACCTCGATAGCTTTTGCTTTGATATTGTCTCCCTCTTTTGGCCTCAATTTGCAATTTCAGGCTTTTCCTCACAAGATAAAAGTGATGTAATTTCCAAGCGATAGAAGATTAGTTATATTAACAAAAGCTTATAATAGGTTACATGTATTTGATGTAATAGTGATGAGTAGCTGTTTACATGTAAGAAGCTTTCATAGCTAAGAACAAACTGTCTTTATGTAACATTCAGAGGTGACTGACATTGTAACTGACATTAGTCATGTAACACATTGTCCACAGTCAGGTTTTAACCATAAGTGTATCTTTGTTGATCATGCATGAGGCTCATTTAAACTGTTTGACTTTGAATACAATTGGACAATTTTTTTGAAAACAATTTGGAAGGTGAGTCAACAAAGGCAGGCACCCTTCTCCCTTTTTCCAGTATTTACTCTGAATTGCTAAAAAACACTGATGAAAACGCTTCTCTTTACTAAAAGAACATCGAAGAAGAAGTTGACCTTTCATTTATGTTGAGATTTGAAGTAATTGAAAAGGTATACACTTAAACACAAGCAGTTATTGAGAATTTTCTCTAGTTTTAATTTGAACAGTAAAGATGCAGACACATATTTTGTTACATAGTACATTACAATACTACCAGAAAAAATGTCAACATGTAAACAACTGCATTGAACATAGTTTATTGTTATTATATATATATATTACTTGTTTCCTTTGTTTGAGTGTGCGTCTGTGTGTGTTTCTGAACATATTTGTGCATACTCCTTTTTTAGCCTCCAGGAGGCAGTAGCAATCTGTGGGACTTGGTGTCAGTAATTAACGGCCAGGACGACTCACTGCTACCAGCCAGCTACAGCAAGGGAGTGATGCACATGAAACACCTGCTCAAGTTTAAAACGGTGAGTAGCTCTGATTCCCTGAGTCACTGTTCAAGGTTACAAGGTTTGTTTATTTCTATTCTACAACAGTGTGTTTTTGCCAAAATGACACAGCTTAACCAGAATGGAGATGTGTGATGACCATGTCAGGTTGTCTGTGATGCTGATTCTGGGGAACCTAAAACTGTTCACTTGCTCCACCTCAGCTTCACTCATAGAGAAATGGGTGTGTGTCTACGTCTTAATTTTAAAAACATCAACAATCAGCTCCTTGGTTTTACTGACGTTGAACAGTAGGTTGTTGTCTGAGCACCACTCTGCAAGATTGTTGATTTCCTCTCTGTATGAAGTGCCATCGTTTGAAATCTGGCCGATGTCATCTGCAAACTTCAGAAAAGAGTTCTCTTCATGGTAGGGATTGCAGTCGTGGGTTTACAGCACGGGTGGGCAAACTTTTTGGCTCGGGGGCCACATTGAGTTTTAACATTTGACAGACGGGCTAGGCCAGTAGCAGATGAATGGAGTGTTTGTGTGAACTAATATAAATTACAAGTAACATTTAATTTCAGTGGGAACAGTGTTGTTGGTCACCCTTTTTAACCAGTGCGTCAACGTTTGGTGTCAGTTTGGTTGTAGCAATTCTCAGAACAGATCTGAGGTGTTCATCAGTTACACGGTATTTTATTACCGCATTAATGCATATTTAATCGTGCACTTAATTATTAAGCAGTCATTTTTGACACAGTATTTTTAGTGTAAAGGTTAATGATTGTGGTCGTTTTAGCAGACCAGATCATACAAATATTTGACTGTCACATCTAACATTATCCGTTGCTCTGCTCTGTAACGTCTTTCCTTGTCTCCCCCCGGTGTCACGGTGTGGGTACATCTCACTGGCGTCAGGAAACGTATCAGAATACCCTTATTTTATTGGCTAAACTGCATCACGTGACATGATTTACAACGCATTGGTTGGTGTTTTTCCTGCACCGCTGAACAAGTGCCGTAAATACTGGAAAGGAGCGTGAATAACTCCGCTGCATAAAGCAAAGTACCGCGACCCACTGAAAACGGGTCCGCGACAAACCACCAGTTGAGAATCACTGGTTTACAGGATCGTGGCGAGCAGTGAACAGCTGTTTGTGTGGCGTGTCTTCCGTCTCTTCCTGTTTCCTTCACCCACATTCCCCTGGGTCCTAAGCCCCTCCCTGTACAGCTTCTTATCACCCTATTTGCACCAATGTACATTTATAACAAATACCACACATATTACACGGTAATCAGCGTTGCATATGTGTCAAACTCTATCGGTGTATCTCCGGTCTGTCTTTGTTCATCCTGCATCGCTCTGTTCTGTTCTTTAATGTAACTTAACTGGAGCGACGGAGCTTCTCTAAGCTGTTAGCAGACTGTTGTGCTAGCAAGCAGGCTTGCGAGCGAGCTGTACCCAGCATGCAGTTCGGCGGTGAAATTTTATAAATGTACAATTAGTGTTACAAATTGTTTATGTGTCACAGACTTTGTGCTGTGGTGTTTTTCCTCTGTTAAAGAGCATTAGTTGTGGGTTGTTAATTGTTGTTATAAAGTTATGACCGTGACTAGGGTTCCCTCTCAATACATATAAGAGAACTAGCGCTGACCGCAAAGCAATAGCGGCAAACAATACATTTAGCTGCCTGTTGAAAGCAGACTTGGGGAATGATTTTCTTTGTATTTGTGATCACCACATCATGAATACATTTGTTAATGTATGATGTCACTGTAGATTTATATTCCTCAAGAATGATGTGGTTTTCCTGGGTGGCAGCATCTCTTAACATGTACCAGTCTGCACTCTAGACAGTCCTGTAGAAGTGCTGTAGCTTCATCTGTCCACACTTTAACTGATTATTTTTCTGATGGTTTGAACTTTTTCATCAACTGGCAGTAGGCTGGGAAGAGACAGAAAGGTCATCATGTGTTCAAAAACCCAGAGAGACCACACTGTGAGGTGGAGTACCCCATATTAACTATGGTTTGTAAGAGGCAGCCAATCAAATACCTGGCCAGAGTCAGAGAAATGTATTTCACTCAGGGAGAAGTGAATAGTCTTTGTAAACAGTATGTCAATAACAGATCTATTCTACTATTGATTCCTACAGTCAAGGACAAACAGTTCTACCAACACACACACACACACACACAAATAAGAACTACACACATAAAACTATGATCTATGAATTGAGACATTGTTTTGTTATTCCGAAAACCTTTTTTTACTTTTATCCTGATAAATGGACTGTACTTGTATAGCGCTTTATCTTCCGACCACTCGAAGCGCTTTAACACGACATGTCATTCACCCCCATCCATACACTGATGGTAGGGGTTACCATGCAAGGTGCCACCTCCAAATCAGGACTATCTAACTATTCATACACATTCATACACAGCAGGAACAGCCTGCGGCATTAATTTGGGGTTAAGTGTCTTGCCTAAGGACACATCGACATGGACTCCTTTGATTGAAGGACGACCCTGCTCTACCACTGGGCCACAGCCGCCCACATTTATTTATCTAATTACAAATCTGAAAAATTTCCCAAAATAATGAAAAGCACAGTAAATACAGAAGTAACAGAACATAAATTTATACGAAAACAAATATAAGACTACATTACAGTACATGTTCACATTGTTTACAAACAAGAAAAGCCCCCTCATGTCATTTGTGTTTATCTCGAGAATAGATATCCTGAATTTGCACGGTTTATTCAGTGTGGCTTTGTGGCACAAAGGCAGTAAAACTGTAAAATCTGAAACGGACCCAAAATTTTCCTGAAACTTAATCTGTGACTTAACGAAAACTGTGCTAGCTATCAAAATGTCTATTTGGCTCAATAAAGTGCAGCGTTTTGTCTACGTTTTAAACTTTGAAACGTTTTTCTACGTCAATGTATATGGGCCCAAAGAGAAATTTTGCTCATATTTTCAGGAAAACCGCTGGGTGAATCTCTCTAAAAAATAGCACACTATTCCCGATCAGGCCGCACATTTTGATGTATTTTTTGCCCAGGTGTTGGCAATGCTGTGTGAGGAGAAGTGTGCCAAACTTTCTGGATAACGATTATTATTCAGTGTGGCTTTGTAGCACAAAGGCAGTAAAACTGCCTGTGCCAAAGCACACTGTATATAATCCATCGGGCTTAATAACTAGAAAATTCCTAATTTTAGAAATTTTGACAGTGTGGCTTCGACTGCCCGAAGAAATCGCAATATATACACACGCTAATGTTACCGGTAGTGTCATTCAGGTTCAATTGAGATAGCGCTACTCTCTTTTCTGCATTTTAGATTCATACTCTTGGATTGAAGCTTGTATTTGTGGGGCTTTTATTTTGAAAGGGTGAGACTGGGTGGGTGAGAGAGGGGGAGAGGAGACAGAATCATAATGTTTGACACTAAAATGACAGGCTTCATCACAAGCATTCCAGTTAGAATTCATTCTGTGGGGCTTGTATTTTGAAATGGGGGGGGGGGGGGGGGG